TATAGGGGGTCGACTGGTACAAACCTATGTTAAAATTACTTATAACATGGTGTTTTTACTTAATAAAAATATTATAAAATTATTAAAATATTTGTTTGTACAAAAGAACAATTTAAATGTGTCAATTTTCGCCCACACGTCCATTCGATTTACATTATATTCTTAAGTGACATAAAGGAAAGTGTGTTTTGCATTGCGTTACACGTACTTAATGCTGTATTTTTATATACCGTATATATCAAATAATTATAAATGAAATAACATTTTGTTATACAAATATTTTATGTTTTAAATAACTTTCGCCCACATTCGACGAGTGAAATGCTAGACATCGTACAGTACAACGTGACAAATCATAATGATTTTGCAATTGGTGTTCGTCTCTCGACGATAAACAGGTGTTGAAATGTCAAGAGACTATAGGAAAATTATTAAAATTCAGTTTCGCAATATTAAAACTTACAATTGTTAATTTAAATATATATATATTTAATAATTTTTATAAATGTATTCAGCCATAATCTTCGGATGCCACACGTGTCTTCACATACCCACGATCTACATAAGCCTATAAATTTTAGATGCCCACAAATACCCAAAAAATAAAAGGAGGAAAAAGTAATATAAAAAAAAACCTATAAAAATTCAAATTTTAAACAATTTCTAATGATATATTTAAGGATAAATGTGTAAGATGGAGAAGAAAAATGGTGGCATCGTTTGTAAATCTCTCTTCTCCTTCCCGCCAAATAAACGTGAATGAAAGCATCGAAGCATACAGTTCCCATAGTTCTGCTTGTATCAAGTAGAGGTTTTAAATAGGGCATAGGCCCGATTCTAAGTTAGACACCTGCGGGAGATTTCCCGTTGGAAGCAATGATGCGAAAAGAGTACTTTAAAAAAAAAAAAGATATGCATAAGACGTCAAGGTTAACTTAAAGATTTTTGTCTCTTGGGAACTCGTTTTGCACTGTTATTATTATTATTGTTAAAAAACTATATATATATATATATATATATAGAGGATAGAGGAAGAGAAAAGCACCATTTGTCACGTTCACTCCTTGAGAATGTTGTCTGTTAATGGAACACTTGATCACCAGTTAAGTCTTCTTCCATTTTGGGCTTTACGAGTTGAAAGGCGATTGGACGGAGCGGAAAACAAAACTTTCTTAAGAACGTGACTGGATTTCGTACCTTTTAGAAACTTTATTTGATTCTATAATAAAATTCTTTCAACTTTTTTTCTCTCTTTTTGGTTCAACTGCATACTTCTACACTTGTATATACTGAATGCTGTAAGTCATAACCGGATTTAATAACGTTCATATACACTCTTATACCATATAAAATTCTGATATTAATTTTCATGAATTTGTATAGAGGGTGGACCAAAGTTGGTTAATAATTGTAGAGAATAATTTGCTTTCTTATTCAAATAATTATAATTATTATTATTATTTTTTTTTTCGCCAATTCCGTATTCAGAAGAGTAACCGGAACAGAAAAAAAAAGGCACGGTTAATCGAGTCGCTTTCGATTTTACGTACAGTCAAACTACTATATGAAACTGGCACTAAATCGAGTATGGCACTAGACTGAAGTACTTCATGCAACAAGAATTATACGTAGTAATGAGGTATATACAGTGNTATATATATGTAATATGTCGTGGGTTTTTTAATAATTAATAAATAAATTATGTCGTGTAGAGGAAAAGATTATTATTATTTTTTAAAATTATTCCCGAATCTTGAGCATAAACGTAGAATTTTAATGGCGATTTAATTCGATTTTAATCACAAAATTAGATATCCGTAACCTCTTTTGACTTCAATTGCTGAGAAATTGAGAGTCAAAAGAGGTTACTGATGCATAATTTTATGATGCTTTCGAAAAATAAGATAATTATAAATAATTTATGGAATCATTTAATCCTTCTTTAATCAATATAAAATTATAACAGCATCGTGTGAAGAATGCCAAAGAATATATTTACTTACAGGGTATATATCATGTATTAAATTTAATATAATTATTATTATATCAAATTTTATAAAATTTAAAGCAAAAATTATTGAATTTTTTTTAATACTGTGTGCAACTTATACATTGTATCTTATAGGAAAAGTTGTTTAAGAAATTTGGAAGGGATGCTGGAGTAAACAGTAAAATAATTTTAATTTTAATCAGATTTTTCTTTTATAAAGTATATAGGCTAATAGAGCAGGCTGTTATAGAGAATTTAAGATATATAAAAAGTATTTAACCTATAATTTATCCCATTTATGGTTGAATGCAACTGTTAATAGAGTGGCGATATTCTTATCTATAAATGATCGGTTGAACAGTTTTATAAATATTGAAAAATTAAATAATCGGCTTTTTATTAATTATTTCCTTTTATGTATTAACCTTTCATTTTAGTGATATTTACATAGAACGATATTTGTCATCGATTTTAGATAGTCGTTTCCTTTTGGCACTTGTACAATATTTGAACAAGCTGTCACATTTTCCATTATCAATATATGTAGGGGACATGTTTTCTTTAAAGATTTTCTTCAATTTTCAACTAGAATTTTCATAAAATTCTTTAGACTAAATACGTTTAATTGTGCACAGAAATCGTTTATTAATTGCGGGCAGAATTTATAACATTTATTGCAATGTTATTTCCTGCAACGGTTGCAGCATACTTTGAATTTCGAACGGCTATAAGTTGCTCTACTGCCCATCCGAAATCGCAACCGATCTTTAATCAGACCGGAAGCGCCGTGACGTCGGCACACCTGCATCGAATTTACTCATCGGACACGTGCGTCCGTCCTTGCTTAGGCAGGAAGTCACGTGAGATGACTACTCTTCACACCTTCCCCAGCCGAGCCCAACTTAGTCGGCCATATGTTCTTATGGCAACCTATGCTTGTACTGTTATGTTTGTATACAATAGTGGACGGAAACATAAATAGTCTTCTTTTGCGGGCCATATGCCTCCTCGACAGACTTCCGGTTCATTGGTTTTTAGGAAGAAAACAATTTTTTCCAGATTTACAATTAGATAATTGAAAATTTAATGTGGGAAAATATTCGTCTCTCCAATACATTAAAGTATTGCATGTATTTATATTTAAATCTTAGCTCTTTTTTTTCAAGTGAATATTGCAAAAAAAAATATATTAAATTTCCCTAATACAAAAGCCTAATTTTAGGGGAGGGGGTGGAATTATAAACAGGAATGTCAAATGAATTATTAATATTGCTTACATTCCTTTAACATGCATTCTTAGCAATAGGCATTAATAAATTCTCGAATTTTAAAGCATTTTTTTTTAATTATTTAAATGCTCGTCTCTTATTTTACATTATTATTATTTAATTAAATAATATTTTGAATGATAAGATGATATTCAATAGCATACCTGTTTACATAAAATATCATTTAATTCAGATGCGATTACAGAAGCATACAAAATATTAACAATATTTGTGTGCAAAATAATTGTTTTTATGCTAAACATAATATAAAAATCATACACTCTACTGTATTAATCTATAGAGATTTATGCACGAACAAGATAGTATGAATGTTTATATATATTACTATGCGATGTATATTTATACAGTCGACCCCCCTATAACACTGTTATTATTCCGTTTTATATGAATTCCTTAGATTTTACAAATATGTGAACAGTTCACAGCCCGGCACATTTGTAAAATCTAAGTGACTCGTACAACATGGAATTCATATAAAACGGAATAATCAACAGTGTTATTGGAGGATCGACCGTATATCTATACATAGTATAGTATGTAGAACAAAGTTTTTCACTTCATGTTTTATGTAGGCTAATACGTAAAATCATATGCAGATCATAGAAATCCTATCGTTCTGATTATCAAACTAGGATCCTACGGTTTAATGACGTATGTAATGTTGCATCATTTTATATCTAAACATAAATATTTTTAATGATATTTACGCAAGAGACAAAGTTTGAATATTCTACTGAAGTTTACTCGTGTAACAAAAATATTATTCCCGGATTTAGAGAAAGAAAAAAAAAACAAAAGATAGAAGTAATTTTTAACAGTGCATCATTTACCCTAAGTTTGCATTCAACAAATAATAACCTTTTTGTCTATTTCGTCCACAGTAATGATGCTAAACGTAGATTTTTTGTTTTTTGTAACCGGTCTCGATTTGTGGAAAATCCCATAAACCTGGTTTTGTTTCCTTCTCAGTGTTGTCCAGATGGGCCAAACTATGTTTTTGGCTTTTGGTGTCAAGGTGTAGATTCACACGACCACTTCCGGTTCTAAAACCAAGCAGATGTGCTCGCGAAGACAAGCGAAAGACATCTGGGGTAACTAGGTGTGTTGACGTCACGAAGTCCAGCTGGACCAGGTGATAGGGTGTCACGTGCTAACTTCCTCAACCTATCTTCACCTGGTGACATTTTATAATATTACAGTAAAAATTATAAATATATATTAATAATGAAACTGTTTATATAATCTTCAATAAAAGCTTTTTAAGGAAGCGATCGAGAGATATCGGTCTTTAAAAATAATTCTCTTGTAATCTATTTACCGGACGAGGCAGGGGATCTCCGTGTATGACAACATTCTCCCCCCATACCTGCAGCGATATCACGTATGGGAGGTTCAACTGAACAACAGTAACTGTTATTATAGTAGCTATACATTTAGTAGCTTATACACGAAAGAGGGAAGACCAATTGAACTATTGTTACCGTAAAAGCTTATATAAATTACTATAAACACCGCTGTAATTCGTATTAATTAATTCTAATAAATTCGTGATTTTGTGTGTTTAAAGAATAAAGAATTAACCGAATTTTTCGGACGTTTTATGTAGAAAATATTTCTAAAAAATATATATATAAAAACATGAAACATATTAAGGAATAAATTGTATTTTTTTAATGTATTTTTCCGCATAATTTGTACAAAAAAATTAAATCTTATTTTTCTTTTTTTAAAAACTGCTTATATATATATTCGCGTTATCACATTGCAGACAAAAATTGAGGAAATTTGTACAATATTTGCACGTGCGACAATTTCTTTTTTTTCCTTATTAGTATGCGCACTTCCTCACTGAGGACTATAGCTAGTGTCCCATTATATTCATATTTCGACCAAGGGAAAAAAAATTTTTTCTATACACAGGATCACAGCCACAAGATTTGCACGTTCTCTTTTTTTTTTTTTTTAAGATCAAAACATAATATACATATAAAATCTCATTTTATACATTTATAATAATTATTTCTTTCATTTTGTTTAATATATATATATAATATGTATATATATTACACTCATTCTTCTTAAAATGTCCTGCCTGGTTCAGGTACAGTAAGGATTTGTTTGTTTTTTTTTTTTTTCAGTATATCCTGATTTGAGCTTCCTCGTCCTCTTCGTTCGAGACACTTGAATAAGTAGCAGGCCTTTGGACTATTTCAGGTTTGTTGGACAGGAAATTCGCACCTGTTCGAGCCTCTGATGTTGGGGATTTTTGTTGCATTATTCAAAAAATTCTAGCATGAAACAGGTCGCGGTGTAGTTCCAACTAAATCAGTTAGATGACTCGGGACTTTATCCGTGTGACAAGCCTGAAACACAAGAAATTTTCAAAATAAATAAATAAAAAAAAACACGTACGGATTGTGTAAAATGTATTTATTTTTAAATTTAAGTGTTAATATGCCTATTTCTATAATATATACGTCCTCGCGCTGAATGTTAATACGAGGAAGGAAACTTATGAAAAAGTAGAACGCCAACAGCTGCCCCAATTTTTCAGATTACTAAACCGAAAATAAACACGTTACTCTAGGTTGGCGTTACCTCTATTTTGGGCCACTAGTCCTTTATTAGGTCGGAAATTAAGATTAAAAAAAAAAATGATACGTATTTCTATATATATAAATATATTTTTAAAGAAGTCGAACTTACCTCCTGGGCCGCACACGTATTAACTACAGCGTTAGTTCCTGTAGATAATACACCCAATGGCTGACGATTCGGACTTGTAGCAATGGCGCTGGTCGGTCTAGACGTTGGGTGACTCTCTAACGCTATTTGTAAGTCGACGATATAGTCGATAACGTATTGTATTATCTCCAATTTGGATAATTTTTTGTTCTTAGGCATATTAGGTACCAGTTCTTTAAGCTTGCATAATAACACTTGCATTTCTTCTTGCGTCACGTCACGTTCTTTATGTCGATTGTTACGTACGCCATTGAATTTTGTTTCGTTGGACGATTTCAAATCTGCCGATTTCATGTTTTCGCGTTTAACTGTTATATCCTCTGGTAATACAAACATCCACACAACGAGTACAAATCGCTTCACTGCGCAGAAGAAATGAAGAGCGGCTTTTATATCGACTCGTCGATCAAACGAGGGAGGAGTTAGATGATGTCATGGGTTGCCAGATACGTTTATTGGTTGTACGTCCAAAGGGGTCGGAGTTAAGGAAATAACCAATGAGGAAACTTTGAACAATTGTCCAGATGTCAATCACATCTGGTTGGAACCGTGGGACCATAAGAAACACTACATAATGTTCCGGTCGAATTGGTACATTTTATTGTGACGTCAGAGTGAGTTGTATTAGCTATTTTAGGTGTGTCAAATATAAATAAGCTGTGACATTAGCGTGAAGTTTATTTGTTAACATGTTATTTTAGAATATTTATGAATAATTAATTATATTTAATAGTTGAAAAACAGCTTTCACACCTACTTTTAAGTACTGAAAAACTGAATTTTTTATTAATTATTTATAAGTTTATTTTTAATTCTATAATATTTTAGTTACATTGTTGATCTATTATAACTAATTTTTATCTTAAATCAGTATTTATTATTATATAATAACCGAAGTTTTAATTGTTTTTTTTTTTTAAATATAAAAAACAACATCAAAGAGACGTCCTTATCGAGGACGTAGACACTAACATGTTGCTTATAATCGATAAGGTAACTGGTATAAATCTCGAATGGAGCGATTAAAAAAATAAATAAATAAAATCTTGGCCAATATCTTGTAAAATATATTTTTTTTAAAAAAAAAGGAAAGAAATTTCGATCATTACAAACTTCGTTTGATATTTGCATAGTATCAGCCAGTGTTTCTACTCTTAAATTCACGCTCTGATTCCTCTACGAGTTAATGACTTTAAAACGGATAACACGTAACGCGGAAACAAATTACAGCTACAAAATGTCGTATTTCGTAAAAAATAATTACCGTTTCTGAAATTTTCCTAACGTGTTAGATTTTTAAAAAGTTTCTCGTTTATTAGACTTTTTTTTTTTTTTTGGTGGGGTTATAAACATCTGACAGTTATCAATTAAAAGGGAATAGTTGTGCGAACTCCTTAATTTAAAACTGTCAAAAGTTTGTTCTTTGGGCACGGTATCAAAAGAGAATGATGCCAGATTGTCTTCTCACCTGTGACTGGTATTTTGTCTGTATTAAATTGCCAGTTTGTGTGGCGCATACCTCTCCTTTCTGGCGCCGACATTTCGTCCAGAGAACACCACTCGGACCGCAGGAGACAAAGTTAAGTCCGTTGTCGAAAACCTTGTGCAGACAAGATCCTAGAAGCGTTGCTGATTTATGACGTCCACTTCAATTTCGTGCCGGCTTCTCGTTTGTAGAGTGTTGTAACGCTCAAACCGACATGATCATTAGATTTAATTAAACGGGGAGCTTTATTTTTGTATGCCAAGAACGTGCGCTCTCTATTACCTTCGTTACGTTATTAAATATTTCCGTATTATTTATAATACTACAAGATTGTGTTGTTCGTGTTTAACGAATAATTGATCTCGTATATATCTGTACTTCTTGTATGTATTTTTTTTTCTGTATTTTATGAAAACGATGATAGCCTTGTTTGTTCGTCACATGATTAGGTGTTGTCTACTCAACATAATTACTCATAAAGATACATACTACAGACGAAGCACAGGCCTATTTGTTCGTTGCAATTGTTATATGATGAATAGGCCTGCTCGTTCATTACATGATGAGTAGGTCCACTTATTCATCACAATTAACTTATTCATAACATGATAAGTACGATAGTTGTCCGTCGTATTATGTATAGGCCCGTTTGATCATTACAGTGTTCATCACGTGGTAAGTATTAAGAAGTGTGCCACGAGAAAGCAATAAGGAAAGAATTAATTGGAAAGTTTATTGCATTTTAAACTGTAGAACAATGATTATTCTTTTATACACATTGCATCAATTATTTGTTTGTGCAAAAGGAGAGAACTGGCCGATCTACTCCGTTTGCGATATCGGGGCAGTTCCCACGGTGTGGTCGACAGATGTGGAGCTAATCGCGTCCCTTCTCAACCCCCTATCTACACAAACACCATGCAGATGTAAAAGTTTGCTCTGGCTGATAAAATGAGATTTTCCAATATTAAATGTAGACCTTATTCAATTATTTGAACCTCATACGTAGATATATCTCTTATCTCTTTCGTGATAAAAGTTTGCATTCGATTATAAGCGTGGGAATTGTACACTGAGTCATATCTGTACACTGATTTGTTGTATCGTAACATCGGAGCAAACACTCGAAATGATTCTCTACCTTTGACAGGTGATCGGCATTCGTCTTTTGAAGTTTTAAGTCTTTTTTAGCTTACTTAGTAACTAAAAATAGATCATAGAATAATTATAATTATTAATTTTGAATTCTTCTTGTATAATAAGTGCATTAATTTACCTTACCATTTTGTTTAATTTATCATTTAAAAAAAATTGTTTTTTTTTGGATATCTGTTGACATTTTAGAATTTTTCCCCCTATTATTTAGACCAAATTTGCATAATAAAATTCCACTTTAAATTTTCTTCATTTTTTTTTATTAAATTCCTTTACTTATAAGTTATTATTGCAATTTTTATTATTAATTACAGTGTCATACATTTTTATATGATTAATTTTGTATATGATACTAGGCTATCTTCTTGAAAATTTTATCTCTATTACTCTTTGGGCATACATTTTTATCTTGATCATTACTTTGCAGTTTTACTATAATTATTCTGATATTTTAACAACTTCCTCTTTACACTGGAATTTTTTATTTAATCCATTCTTTATTTTATTTATAATTAATTTTAATTTTGAACTAATTTTATTCATTCAAATTATATAGCATCAACAATACTTAACTACAGTTTAGCATGAATCTTCCTTATACCACATAATTTTAGTTAAATTTTAATGTTTTAGGAGTTTATTTATTCATAAAATATCTCAGAAATAATTTTTAAAATTTACTTTCTACACCAAACAACTTCCATTTTTCATCATAACTAAAATCTGAAGATATCAATCCTTTATGCCCTAATTATCAATTAAAATTTATGTGGTGTTTTTCTATTTTAATTTGATCCACAAATATTCTCATATATCTAAATCAGAATTAGTAAATTTCTTTGCCAAACAATTATAAGTTTATATTGTTTGGTAAATAATAGTTCAGTATTATTTTCTTTTGTGCTTGAATCAAATTAAAAATGATTTTCTTAATGATAATACTGAATTAAAGATTCACTATTAAGAAAATTATATTGTAATATTCATATTATCTTTATTATTTAAGACTATATGGCTTTAAATGAGCAGTAGAATAATAGCAAGTGCATGAATTTAACCAAATTTTCAGTATATTAATCATTAAGAGTATATAAATTGAAAGTTTCAATTATAATGAGGAAATTAAAGATTATATAAAGATGAAACTAAGGGCTTTTATAAGTAATTACAGTATTATGGATGGAGGAATTTAATCTTATATTATTATTCAATTCATAAGCATAATCAGGTTCAATTTCTATATCAATTAACTCTCTAAATCTTCATTTCTGTACTAAAATCTCTTATTTATTAAAAACTAAAATTTAATACATGAAAAAGAATCTGTTTGGAAGAAAAATAATTTCTCTACCTAAAATTCTTTTTATTTAATTTTGATATAATATCCTGTTATTGATAAACGCCTACTACATTTAGAATTTGGATAAATGATAAAATAATCGTTGCATTATTTGTAATGGGAGTGGGTTAAATTAATATTAAAAAAAATGATGAATCAACAAAAGAAATGATGCACTTTGTTTTAGTTATAGAATTCATATTAAAAATATCAAACATTTTCTAATTATAATGAAATAAAATTCTTAAATAATTTTTACTTGTGTCCTATGCATCAAATTTTGATTTTTATAGTTAATCAGTGTATTTGTTTTTTTTTTCTTGCTCCATAATTTTTATTAGTTTTATAAATATTTAATGGAAATTTTCTGTCAGTTAAGATACTTAAAAATTTAAGAATTAAAGCATTTAATTACAATGTTCATTTTACATTCAGGTACCTTAATTTGCTAATAAACTAATGAATAAAGGATAATTATATATATATATATATATATATATTT